GTGCACTCCAGCGGGGAGCTGTTTCAAGAGTACAGATACGGTGACATCCGTACCTACCATGCCCCAACGCAGCTCACACCCACTCAGTTTCCTGCTGCCTCAATTGGCCTGCCTTCCCGGACCAAGACTCCTGCCCAGGTGAGGTAGCCGGGCGTCTCCCCCACTCTGTGGGGCATGTGCGTGGGGGGCTGTACAGCTCTGAAGCAGAAATGGGTTAGGAAGTCAGCCTTTCCCCTAAGGTGGTGGTTGAGGGACAGGTGAGCCTGTCAGGTACTTTGAATATGTTACTAGTGTCCTTGGGGGTTTAAAGGGGAGACTTGGGTATGAAAGGGTCACATCACACTACGGAGAGCTCCAGGTAGGGGGAAGAGCTCTTTGTGCCACGCACGGGAAGTGCGGTGGCTTCTCCTTATGGGGTGGGGAGGAAGGGAGTGGAACTTCTTAGCTGTGTCATGACTTGCGTGAGATAGCCTGCAGCTGACACCCTCCTGCGTGGCCGGTTGAGCCCTGTGTTGGGGCCCGGGGCCTGTGCATAGCAGACTCTGACTCTCCCTTTGCCTTCTTTTCCAACTCTAGGGGCCCCCTGACGGTGAGCCCTTGCAGCCCATTCAGCCCGCACCGTCCGCGCAGCCTGCTCCACCTGTGCCGCCCTGCAATCCCTCCCAACTCAGCCAGGCTGGCCAGCCGCCGAGTAGCAAGATGCCTCAGGTTTCCCAAGAGGCAAAGGGGACTCAGACAGGAGGAATCGAGCAGCCCCGCCTCCCAACTGTACCTGCAAACAGGCCGCCTGAACCCCATGCCCCCCAGGTTCAGAGGGCACAGGTGGAAGGCGGCCAGACTTCCTACCCTTCCCCCGTGTCTGTCTCCATGAAGCCGGACCTCCCAGCCCCTCTGCCTACTCAGGCTGCCCCCAAGCAGCCGCTGTTTGTTCCTACAACTTCAGGCCCCAGTACCCCACCAGGGCTGGCGCTGCCGCACGCTGAAGTCCAACCAGCCCCCAAGCCAGATTCTTCTCCACACTTGACTTCCCAGAGATCTGTGGATATGGTCCAGCTTCTGAAGGTGAGCGTGGGCGAGGGCTGGGCCCCTGTCTCCCAAGCTCTGTGCTGTGTTCAGTGTCCTAAGATTCCCCAGTTGACCTAGGCCAGCATGGCCAGCTCCCAGCTCCTCAGCCAGGAGCTCACTCTTGCTTTGTTTCCTTGTGAGCAGAAGTATCCCATCGTGTGGCAGGGCCTGCTGGCTCTGAAGAATGACACAGCTGCTGTGCAGCTCCACTTCGTCTCTGGTAACAACGTCCTGGCCCACCGGTCCCTGCCTCTCTCCGAAGGGGGTCCCCCGCTGAGGATCGCCCAGAGGATGCGGCTGGAAGCTTCACAGCTGGAAGGGGTGGCCCGAAGAATGACAGTAAGAACTTGTGGGCCCCAGTTGAGCCCTGCCCACTCTCAGGGAGGGCACAGATGTCCCCTGCCTGTCTCCTGGTATGGGACATAGTTCTGGCAGTGGACAGTGAAAGGCATACTGAGTGCCTTACTCCTGCACCCAGCAACAAAGTAGCCTCAGAGATAGGGGTTTTAATGGACTTAGCGTAGCGTCCTGGGTTGGACATGGACTGCCGTTTGGTTAGAAGGCTTCTGACCACTGGGTGCTCTGCCCCAGGTGGAGACAGATTACTGTCTGCTGCTGGCTCTGCCCTGTGGTCGTGACCAGGAAGACGTGGTAAGCCAGACAGAGTCCCTGAAGGCTGCCTTCATCACTTACCTGCAGACCAAGCAGGCAGCAGGGATCATCAACGTTCCCAACCCTGGCTCCAATCAGGTTGGTCTAGCATGGTGTCGCGTCCCGTCCTTCCTGACCTCTACCCCGTGTGTACACAGGAGGGGTGCTCTGTGGCAAGTGGGAGTGTGGTGGCACAGATCACCAGCAGGAGCTAGGGTATTCCAGCAGCTCCTGGAGGAGGAGGTGGACAAAGGGCATTCTGGATGGAGGGCACCAGCATTGTGTGGGAGGGGACCTGGGGAGCAGCCGAGGACCTTCTCGAGCCTGGTGGCATGGGCGCTCAGGGCATGCAGTAGTCATGGTGGGGACACTGACCTAGGCTGGCTGCCAGCCTCTGGTCTGTTCAGGGCCTGTTGGAAGCATGCTGGGGAGGGTGTGCCGAAGACAGAGGGTCCCACTTTGTCTCTCACCCCTTCTCCAGCCCGCCTATGTGCTGCAGATCTTCCCGCCTTGCGAGTTCTCTGAGAGTCACCTGTCCCGCCTGGCCCCTGACCTCCTTGCCAGTGTCTCCAACATCTCTCCTCACCTCATGATTGTCATTGCCTCTGTGTGAGCCACTGGACTATCACCACCTCAGGGCGTTTTCCCCGAGGTTCTGCCGGAAAAAAAAAAAAAAAACAAAAAACGACCACCAGACTACCCAGTCAGGCAGAGGAGCGGCTGCAGAGGGGACAGACCCCACTGCCAGACGCTGGCCTCCGTGCCTGCCCCGCTCCCAGGGACAGACCTCCCTGGGCGGTGGTGCTGCTGCCTTGTATGTTTACACGACGCTGTCGCCCAGGACATGCCACCAACTGAGGGGCTCACAGACACCTTGGGGCTGGGTTTCTCTCTTTTTGGAGAAAAGGAATAGGGCAGTGGAATTCATTTTTGTTTTTAAGAAACAAGAAAACAGGACTGCCTTTGCACTAAATTAGTGACTTGGACTTTTGCACAGTGAAGACAGGCTGTGACGCTCTGACAGACGTCTTGGTGTGTGTGAACACGTCACAGACGCTAATGCAGGACTCGAAACTTCTGCTGAAACCTTGGGGTCAAGGAACATTTCATTGGGTTTTGTTTTTGCCCCACCTCCTCTTCCCTTGCTCATTGGATGTGTCACCTCTTAACTCCTGCTGCCACCACCTTTGACTCACCAGGATGTACAGTTTACAGTGGAACAGGAGCAAACACACGATTTCCTTCCTTGGTGGGATATGCAGAACATGGGATGTGTGTATATATAAATATATAATATATATAAATATATATAATACTGACTTAAAAATCAAATTTCCCCGACATACATTTTTTTTAATCTGTGCCAAAAATGTGTTTTCAGAGAAAATCTTATTTTCATACTCAGACTTTGTATCGTCACTCATTTGTATAAGTGCGCTTCATGACAGCACGGGCGCCGCTCCCGCGATGTGCAAGTGTCACACCGCACCTGTACAAAGACTGGCCAACCCTCTCCTGTGTCCCAGACCTCTCCAGACTTCCTAACACTTATTAATTTATGAAACTGTTTTTCTCAGCGCAGTTTTGTTTTGTGTGTCCATTGGATTACAAACTTTATTAAAAAATACAAAACACCTCAGGTGTGAATGTGCTTGCTGCTCGGTGGGAGGGCCAGTGGGTGCTGGCTTAGGGAAGACAGCTAGCCTTCACCTCACCTTGGCTTTTACCCCACCCTCACTTAATCCTCCCCAAAAGATCATTTTGTGTCGTACAAAAGAGCCTTTTGTCGGGGATGAACTTCAGCATTTTCCAGTGTTCTAGTGTACGCAGATCCGTGTGAAGCTTCAAGGTCCTGATTGGCTCCGAGGTTAACCTGAAAAGCACTTCAGCCTTTGATGCAGTAGAAAACACCCCCTTGCAGAGGGATTTCTCCACAAGCCTGTGCTGGCGTTGAACCCAGGGCCTGGCACATGCTAGGGCTGGAGCCCCGCCCTAAGCCCCAGCCCGTGAGAAGCGTCTCACAAGCTCAGGTCCCTGCTCTTGCCCCTTCCCTTCCCCAGTATGCTGCCAGTGGCTCTTGCAAAGTCGGGAGCCAGAGCCTGACCTCCTGGTGCTCCTGGCGGTTCCGTTAGCCCTGTACCTGCTGCTTGATAGCAGTGCCGAAGCGGGTGTTAGGCTCCCCCACGCCTACAGGGACATAAATTAGTTGGCATTTTTCCCTTGCAGTATCAACGGGGTCCCTGTAAATATGCATGTGCACACAATACAGCAGTGTCTCCTAGCAAGGAGAGGTACACCTGTCTGCAAGGCTGTCCCACAGAAGCACCCCACTACATCCTTCTGTCCCTCCAGGCCAGCCTGCAGATGGACACTGGATCCCTGGTTCAGGGCACAGAAGTATTCCCAGAGGACAGCTCTGGCAGGGTTACTGGTGAAGCCAGTGCAGAGCTTTCTTGCTTCTCCAGGCCCAAAAGAACTCTGCGCTGGCCTGCTGGGCCTGGCACAACCCTGCCTACCTGGATCCTCTGAATGAATGCGCCCTTGAGCCAGGCCTGAAGCAGCGAATCAGGGCAAAGCCACTGAGGTCTTGAGGTGGGGTTAGTTTTGGAGGGGGACCTGGTGCTGTTTGGGGTGCCCGGCTTTCGGAGTAGTGTGGGCCTCCCCAAGGACCCGCTTCCTTCCCTAGCTGCCCAGCCCCGGGGCAGAGGAGAGCAGGGTCGCAGCAGTGCTCGATGGGGCAAACACGCAGGCCTGGGCCTGTAGGGTTGCAGTCTCAGCTCATGTGCTGCCACTGCCCAACTCGAGACACAGTGGGCTTGGGCACAGAGACGTCTGCAGCAGGGACAGCAGCACTTTTCCAGGAAGGCTGGTCTGGGACGGTGGAGCTCTTGTCACAGCTGTAGCTGCCAGCCCTCCCATTCCCCCAACGGGCCTACATGCAGCATTAGAAAATAATCAAATTTATTCTCTAGGGAATGGGGCCACCCTTCTCAGTTCTAGGGTGCCATCCACCCTTAAATAAAAAGTCAAGAGAAGGGCCTCCAGTCACTCAGCAGGCGGTGGACACTCAGGAGCTGCAGGTGGAGTCTCTGCCGGTGTGGGCTGGCCCTCAGGCCCGTCCCGGGGGCGGAAGACCAGCTCCCCGGCCTGCAGTACCTGCCCAGCTGGCCAAGTGCTGCCTGGCCCGTACTGCTGGTAGAAGTCTGCGTCCGTCTGAAACATGACCAGCGCCTGGGCTGTGTGGATCCGAACATGCTGTGCCAGACTGTTGGCGTCCAGAAACTTGTCCCCACAGGAGTCACAGGCGTAGAGGATGTGGGTGTTGGGGTCTGTGGAGGCAGGGGCGGCAGTCAGTGTGGGAAGGGCCCTGGGTCCACCAGTGCCCACACCCTGGGTGGCCCCTCTCACCTTCTTCCTGCACCTGCTTCACGGCTTTGCTGATCTCCGCTTTCAGCACTTCCGTCTCATCAGCCGTCACGGCCGCCCCCACTGGTACCACTGTGAGCAGAACCAGCAGGGCCTGAGGCGAAGGTTGCAGTAACCACCCCACTGATGCCAGCCTGAGCCAAGCTGTCTGCAGCTGCCCTCTGCTGCCCTGTACCCGCACCTGTGAGCTGAGTGACGGCTGTTGCTGCCAGTGCCTCAGTGGCCAGTGTGACCATGTCATCCACAGTGACCACGCTGACCTCACCGCCCTCCTCTGGCTCCAGGATTTTGATGCCCGCCTTGCCCTGGTGCACAGTCTTCACATGGGAGCGCAGGTTGTCCACCCGGTTGAAGCCGCGCCCACACTTGTCACACAGGTAGGGCTTCTCTCCTGGTGGGGAGGCAAGGTTCGCTCCTGCCTTGGAGGAGGGGCGGCCGGGGTGGCGGTGGGAGGACCTCCAGGCCTCCGCTTCCCCAGCAGCCCTGTCTTTTCCAGCAGCAAGTTCTCTGGGGCAGCCATCAGAGCTGACCGACACTGCCAGGGGCACCCCCATTGCTCTGGAAGCTCTAAGGAAAGGGTCTGCATTCCGACTCAACTGCCTCCACGGCGCCTTCCCGCCCCCACCCAGGAACGGGGTTGTGAGGACGCCGCCCGGCGGGCACTGCTCACCAGTGTGGATGATGATGTGCTTGGACAGGTCCCCCACATTCACGAAGGCCTTGCTGCACACGCTGCACTTGTGGGGGCGGATGTTGTCGTGGTGGCGAATATGATTGGCCAACTGGCTGGACTGCACGAACCTAAGGCCGCAAGGGAGGGGGTCGCATTACCTGCCCCGGCAAGGGGCCGGGGAGAGCAGGGTGGGAGCGCCCTCATCTGGAGCAAGCACCACTGAGCCCTCCGGGAACCCCTCCACACCCTGTGGGGGTGGGGGCAGCACCTCTTGCCGCAGCGCTCGCAGACGTAGGGTTTCTCCCCAGTGTGCTGGCGCACGTGGGCGATGAGGGAGCTGGCCTGCGTGAAGGCCTTGCCGCACATCACACACTGGCACGGCTTCTCACCTGGGGGTGGGAGTGGGAGAGGTGTGAGCACCTGCTTCTCCTCTTGGGCTCCCCCCAGCCCGCAGGCAGCGTGGCCCGCTCACCCACCCGTGTGGATCCGGACGTGCCGCTGCAGGGCGCCGGGGTCGGCAAACTGCCGCTGGCAGTGGATACACACGTAGGGCTTCTCCCCGCTGTGGATCCGCAGGTGCCGCTTGAGGTTCCCTGTGGCGGAGACCGAGGGATGCCTGGTGTGGGGCCCGAGGGCCATGGGGGTAGGGGAGTGGGTGGGCAGCCTGGGTGGCCTGGGGCCTACCTGAGGTGGTGAACTGCTTCCCACACTCTCGGCACTTGAGGGGCCCGTCTGCGATGTGGATCTTCAGGTGGGCCTTCAGGTTCCCCACCTGTGCCACGCAGGGGTCAGAAGGGTTCTCGCAGACCTTGGCCTCAGGCCTCTGCCCAGCCCCCCAACCCCAGAGAGCAACTCTCAGGTCTGCCAGGAAGCTGGGGAAGGAGCCATCTCCCAAAGCTAGTGGGAGGTTCCGGGTCCCCGCAGTGACAAGTAAAACACCTCCACCTAATTCCTTCTGGGCCAAATGCCAGCCTGACGCAAGCTGCCCTCCCTAGCTGCCTGGGCAGGGAGGCCGGGAGCACCATCTGGGGGAGAGTCACTGTCTACAGATGGGCTGAGGGCACCGGGAGGGCTCCTGGAGGACGGGGCGGCCTCTGCGTGCCCTGCAGAGGCTGGCTCTGGGCGGGCCCGCACACCTGATTGAACTTCTTGTCACAGTGTGGGCACTTGTGCTCCTTGTTAGTGTCGTGCGTCTCCAGGTGGCGCATCTTGGACGTGGGGTCCGAGAAGGAGCGGCCACAGTAGTCACACTGGTAGGGCTTCTCGCCGCTGTGCACCAGCTGGTGGCGCTTGAGGTTGCCTGAGGTGGTGAAGAGCTTGCCGCAGTCCTCGCAGCGGTAGCGCGCCTCGCCCGAGTGCCGCTTCTTGTGCAGGTTCAGCAGGCTGATGAGCCGGTAGCTCTTGCCGCACTCCTCGCAGCCGTACGGCTTCAGGGGGCTGTGGCGAGAAGGCAGTGCAAGGGGGGGCGCCCTGGTCCCGGGAGGTGCCTGCAGGACGAGGGGGCCTGGGGCAGCTACCTGTGCGTCTTCTCGTGGGCCTTACACGCGGCGGGGTCGGAGAAGGCCTTGCTGCACTCGCGGCACGAGAAGGGCTTCTCGCCGGTGTGGATGCGGATGTGGCGCTTGAAGTTGCCCGTGTGCGTGAACTCCTTCCCACAGTCCTGCGGCACAGTGGGGGGGCGGGGCGTGAGCGGGCTGTGGGGCCGGGCGGGCGGGAGGGGAGGCACCCCCTGCGCCCCGCACCTCGCACTTGTGGATGACAGAGCCGTACGCCTTGGACTCAGTGCGGTCCCCATAGGTGCCAGAGCGCAGGCTCCGGGCCTCCATGCCGAGCTCCTGCCCCGAGTCCGTGCCCACAGACTCCTCGGTCTCCTCAGGGGCCTCTCCGTTCTCCAGCCGCGGCCCCTCCTCCTTGACCTCGGCGGGCTCTGAGTCTTCCTCCTCAGGCTCTTCTTCCCCTTTGCTGGCCGGCTCTACCTTCATGTCTGCGAAGAGCCAGCAGCACTGAGGCGACTGGGTGTGAGCTCAGGCCGCTCGAACGTCAGGCCCAGTGGACCCACTTCTCCCCTCACGCACCCCTTCCTCTGCCCGAGCACCTAGCAGGTCTGGGAGTGACAAGGACAGTCTCCAGCACTGCCGTGGCAGGCACCCTGGTGTGTGGCCTGGGTATTAGCTACTTGAAGGATGCAGGTGTGAGCCTCAGTCAGCTGGAAATGGGCACTCGGGGTGCTGGAGCAGCAAGGCATATGCTGCGTGGTGCCCGGGGCAGGGCAGAAGCAGAATCTCCAGGATGCATCAAAGTGCTTCTGGGATTCTCAATCAGATGCGCAGCTCAAGATTCAAGGAGAAGCAAGCAGAGAGAACAGTGGCTCCAAGTGGAGCTGGCCGGAGGTACAAGGGGGAGGTCGAGTGGCAGCAGACACTGGGGTCCTGGGAAGAGGTGCATCCCAGGCTGGGGGGTTACCTTGCTCTGAGCTCTCTGACAAGGCAGCCTCAGCTTCTGCTGCAGCCATGCCGCTTGTGGGGTCTGGCTTGA